GCTACCTTCCAATCAATGGAAACCACCTCGTAGATGAATATAGTAGTTATTTACAAGCACTAAAAGTTAAGCATGATAGGCTTCTAATGAATGCGATGATTTGATTGACTAATGTGTACGAAGGGGATATGCTCTATATATGATGAGTCCCCAATGCATATGGATACTTATGTGAGGTGTCATTCGTAAGAAATGATAGAGGGAACTTTTGGATGTAGAATAATATACTTATGGGTGACAATCAACAACATGCAATTAATGTTATAACACTCCTACAATTAGCAATAATCCAGTGCTAAGCAAATATATTAGCTCCTTCTAAGCAAAAGCAGATGGTATGTGGCAAAGTGCAAATATTTATGGGGTCTTTGGAGACTCATCATATGCACTATATCCCATTTACAAGTAAACACCGGATAAAATACAACAAATGCAAGTATCCACGGGCCACTATAGAAGACTCGTAGTACACCAAGTCTATTGTCCATAAGCAAGATACAAAGTGGCTATATCAAGTGCAAGTGCTTACGAGTTATAGTGGGAAATTCATCGTGCATACAACAAGCTATCTACGAGCATCTACAAATACAAAATAGGAGATTCGTTAGTGCATTATGATCCACCTACAGAAAGTAATAAGTCGTTCAAGACAGTCTACTTATACAAAGAAGCAAATAATTCAATCTAGAAGCTACTACAACACGCCATTGGATCCATAACATTCATGCAAGAGGACATAAGGTGTTTATAAATATTTCAAAGTACCCATGCACATGCACCTTATTTTGTATACACATAGTTACACTAAAAGGGGGTATGTAATCAAACAACTGCATGGGCCCCAATGAGCGTGTCATAGGTATACACGTGACGTCTAGGGATGCTGCGCATGTTAATAAATTTGAACATGATCCTCCTAAAAAGATAAGTAGGAGTTGACAAGGATCAATAAATAATTATCAAATGCTCTCAAACACCCGCATGGGTCACGACGAGCGTGTTATTGGTACACACGTAACGTCTAGGGATGTTGCACGGGTCGATAAGTGAATTCAAGCTCAAACCCGATCCTTCTATGTGGATCAATAGGAGTCTACAGGGTTCGAACCAATAAAAAAATATATGGTGGTGGTGACCTATATATTTGTCTTAATACATTCATATTAAGTCTCCAAGGCCTATAACAATTAAAATTCACTAATAAGGACATAAAACCTACAAAACCTGATCCTCTGTCGGCAGCTCAATAGAGTTGACAATGTTCATCTACAAAATATAAATATTTTCAAATAGAATGATCCCATATACCCCGACGATGGCCGTGTTGAATGCAGATCTCAACCGGAGGGGTTAACTCCAATCATTTCAAATGCCTCTAAACTCTCATAAAATTCAAATATTTTAAAGTGACCTCAAAGTCACCCCTATGATGCCCGAGTTGAACAAAAAATCTCAACCGGAGGGGTTAATTTCAAGCATTGTCAAATGTCATCCTAAATACCCACAAAATCTAAAATTCTAAAAGATCATCAAAATCTAAATATTTAAAATAGAAATCCAATTATTAATCACTTAAAGCAAAATCTATCCATCCACTACAATAGTTTGTCTAGGTGGATAAATTAAAATTTACTTTAGCTCACATAGAGTTAATGCATAGTTAAAAATATTACTATGATCCATTCTCAAACAATCTCTTGCCAATAAGTATGTGGTGCATGTCTTTTAACCAGTGGTTTTGCCACCAAATGACACCGTATTATAAACAATTATGACCTCGGGCCCTATAAATTTAGTGGTTTTGCCGCCAAATGACACCACGAAATACCAGTTATGGATAGAGCCAATACATTCCTTAGTGGCATTAAATCCTTGAGATATGAATCAATAGGGTATGATCAATAGGGCACAAAGCCCTATGTTAGCTAAGGTGGATTCAAATATAGCCCCTTAGATAAACACTCACCCCAGGTCTACAAGGTACCCTTGGACGAAGTAACCCGTGGCTGCCGACAAGGATCCTTCTATCAGGTTGGGTCGACTACCTCCTCTAACTAAGTAGACCAGGAACCACGATGGCTCGGGATGATAGAACAATGGGATCTTGATCGGGTCCATCATCCATTCTCCCACCATCTGCTTTAAGTGCTAGATGGTGAAATTTATACTTTTAAATATTAAATCTTCAAATTTTTTAAAATCCCACGCCCATGCTGCTACTATATGCCATATAACACATATTTATACGTATCTAATTAATGACTAGCCTTAATCAAAAGTTCTCTCTCGTTATCGGGAGAGGTAATTAACTATAGGGGCTTGCGCCTATAGGAAACCAGAACTCAAATCATAAAGTCCTCACAAAATGAGGGCAAAATATGTGGGAAGTGTCTTATCTACAAACCCATCTGCCTTCCCAAAATTTACCCCTAGAACTTATTTCGGTTAAAACTCCCCCAAGAAAGAAAGCAACATTTGGCGGAGGTCGGGGCCAAATTTTTGGAGCCCACTATGCTATAAATTTCAAAGAGAGAGAGAGAGGATATTATATTCCAAACATTACATGGAAGTATAACAAATACACAAAAAATAACTCATAATATTTGTGAGATACAAAATTTTTTATGTGATATGGAAAGGTAAAAAAATCACAAAATCTAGCTCAGTTGAAATATTTTCATTATGTCGATTGAATGTTATAATGATCCACCCTCTTCAATACTAGAGGAGGTGGATTTTAAAAAATAAAAAATCATAAGGATTGTTTTCTTGAAGGATGTTAGAAAGCATCAACTAATTGATATATGAAATTTTGTGTGTTGTGTGGTGTGGGGGGGGGGGGGGGCCGGGGGTGGGGGGGGGGGGGGGGGGGGGGGGGGGGGGGGGGGGGGGGGGGGGGGGGGGGGGGGGGTGTTGGGTGATGTCTCACATAAACTCAATAAAGTTTGACTTATAACCATCAATTCAGGTCAACAGTGATAATAATAACATTGGAAGTCATGTGCTGGAATGTAATTAATGTTGTTATCTTTTTAATAGGAGGGAAGGTCAAGCGACTAGTGAAGTTGAAGTTGACATGCAATCAGCCAACATTGACATGCAATTAGCACTACAGCTAAACATCCAATGCTATTTTCATTAAGCAACATTTGCAAATGAGTGGAAGTTGAGTTTGTGTGGGGTAACATAGAATATAATGCTCAAACTAATTTTCAAGCTCTTGCTAGTTTGGTGAGTTTAAAAACTTCCACGTCTTACATCTAGTAATAATTTCTACATAAACTTCCCATAAATGTTCAAGATAAATCTATCCTCAGTCAAATCTTATTGATATTATAGATTAAGATGATCAACATCAATTTTTGATCTGATATCATCAGCTAATTCAACTGTCAGTTTCTCATGTTGTAGCTCATGATATCTCAGTTGAACAATTAATATGAAGTCCAACTAGATGGCAATCCTACTGTAAAAACTTTCTTCCACAAGTCTTCATCTATCAGCCATAAGGAACTCTCTCATCTAAGTGTTGTATCTCCTCATAGATTCAGCATGATGTCTTTATAGTATACCATCATGCACTAATGTCCAAACATTCATTAAACATAGATAAACTTTGTTCAACTTTGTCGTCCGCCTTAATGAATTATTGAACAATTTACTTACACAATCCGTCAATTATATGCACCCCATAGCCAACAATTCTTTTGCAAATATTTCACAAGGCATGTTTCGACAATGTCCCAATATAAATAAAAATTTTAAGAAGGTTAAAAATAACATAGAGGGTAACAAATATTTAGGAGGAGATGCAACTAGGTGGGTTGTATCATTGCAAACGTCCATAAGGTTCTTAAATAGAAGTTCGCAATGTTGTTACTTATTAAAACTTAGGAATTACTTCTTAGTAATATCTACTTGTTATGCATTCTAATTAACCCAAAAATTAATTAGAAGTCCATCCTCATTGGATACCCAATCTTCACCATCTATGAATAAGTAATTGAATGCATATTAATACCATACAATTGTGTCAATGTGAAGACTGAAGAGTGCATCACCAAAACTCTAAAAGAGATACAAGAAATACTATTTTTAAGATATGAAAGGAAGAATTCAATGAAAAAATTACTGATTATTTCTTCGTCCTCAAAAATAGCCATAATTCAAATATAGTGAAATTAGTTTTGATATCAATACCTAAAATGTGTGACATGGAAACTATTTAATAATTAAAAAAATAAAGTAATACAAGTTAAAAGGCCCATGTTACCAAATAGGAAATATATAAAATATCATAAATAATATTTATCAATTAAATAAATGCCAATCGTTTAAAAAATATAGAGATTATATTTAGGTACAACACCATATTTTAAAACTAACTTAAATATAAAGTTAATAGATATTTTAATAATTTAGTAATATTGAGTTAATATTCGAATATATCATTTCAAAATAAGTATGCTCCTCATTTTATTTTATTTTTTAAATCAAATAATATAAAAATTTAGGGAAAACTCATCCAGAAATTAACAAAATTAAAGAAAACCTACAACTAGTTAATTTTGCATATAAAAGCGTGATTATAAAATTAACATGTCATGATCATTACAAAATTAAAAATAAAATATCAATAATCTTTTGTATCCTTCAAATTATTTGCTAAATTGAATACTAATTTCATATATCTTTATGTATAAATATAAGTTTCCAAAATATAATTTCTAATTAGAATATTAGTAAATAGATTTGATTAAGATTATTTTTAAATATAACTCAAAGATGTTCAAGAATAATTATAATTGAATAATATGCTAAATAAATAATAAATCAATTTATTGTCCATTAATCTTGGAAGAATAATATCTTTATCCAGTTCCGCGCCTTCCACGTTCTATCACCTGCAATATGCACCGTCAATTTGTCTTCTCCTTCCAGGGAAAATATCTCCATTCAAATCAGTCCATGGTCCCTCCTTGACATCACGACCAGAGCTTCTGATTTTCCCATTTTTTTTTAAGCTCAGTAGTTGCCTTAAAATATTCAGTGAAGAAACAGAAAAGCAAAGAAGGAAATGAAAGCTGCAGAAGAGACTCATGATATTGTCATCATCGGCGGCGGTATCTGTGGTCTCGCCACCGCCCTAGCTCTTCACCGGTATGCTTCGCGTCTTCTTCTTCTTCTGGTCTTGAAGTCTTCTTCCCCATTCTGTTTACTTATGCCTCTACATATATATTTGCAGGAAGGGCATTAAAAGCCTGGTTTTGGAGAGGTCTGATGAACTAAGAACAACTGGAGGTGCCATCTCTGTATATATGAATGGCTGGCATGCGCTTGACCAACTTGGGGTGGGAGAGGAGCTCCGTTCTAAGGCTATCCTTATCAAAGAGTATCTTTCACTCTCAATCTAAAATTTTCTTAAGTTATCTGTTTTTTTTTTTTTTTAATTTACTTCAGATATTGGCTCTTAAAATGGATGAAAAGTTTGTCATGCTCAGCTTGATAAATGTTGGTATTTTGGCTAATAAATTAAACAAATATTTCAACTTGATTAAATATATTTTAAGTTTATGATGCTTAAAATACATAGTAATTTGTATGAAATCTTACAGATTTATAGAAATAATACCAAATGATTCTATGAAGAGTAGGCCGAATTTACTAACTTTCATTCTCAACAATATGTTAAAATCTTAATGGATCTGTTCTGTTGCATCACGTTTAAATGTATAAATTTGATATTTCATTTTAAAAGCTTGAGGTTTAATTTATAAATAATAATAATAATATGATATACAAGTGAATATCTTTTTTTCTTCTTAGATTTGGACTCATAAATCTAAATGTATAGATGCTTTTGATGGTCCTCAATTGAGGGTCTGTTTGGGACAGCTTTCTAGCTACTTTGTGTTTCAGACTGTAATCATAATTTTATTTGGCAACTGCTTCTCAAAAATTTATGTGTTGGAAAACTGTTTTTTATACAAACATAATATAAAGTTGCTGCAGCCGTCCCAAATAGTTCCTCAATTTATTGGCGTGCAAAACAAATGTGCCTAACACAACTAACTTTTATTTCATCTTTAACTTATGTCTAATATATGCAGGATAAAGGATTCTTGGTTGTTCAAAGAAGAAACAATTACAACACCAAGCAGGTGAATTTCTTTTTTTTCCCTTTAAAATACCCTGCTCTTTTTTTTAGAAGTAACTAATCATTTATCAAACTCCATCCCCTTTTCAACCATGTCTATATGTTTACTAATACAAAATTCTGTAATTAGTAATATTACATTATTTGAATTCTAAAATTTCTTTCTCTTACATTAATCCTCTTGAAATTGGGTCTTGTATACTTCAGCCAATACCAGACTAATATTTGCTTTTCTCACTTGTTTTATTTAGGAAAGCAGGGCTTCGATGCTTAAAAAGGAGTGATCTTGTTGAAACATTGGCCGCTACACTCCCAGCTGAATCAATTCGCTTTAGTTGCAGAATTGTAGCAACAGAGATTGATCCAGTTACATCCTTTCCCATTATTCATGCCAGTGATGGGCTCATCATCAAAGCTAAGGTGACCAATTAATACAAATTACTGATCTATCAATAGCATCACTAATATTAACTGATATAAAGTAAAATGTCTTTTTTATATATTTTGATGTGATTTAGGCATTAATCTGTTATATTTTTATAATTAAGCAGGAATGCAGTGACTAGATTTTCATGCAATTCTGTGCTTTGACAGATTTTAGTTGGCTGTGATGGATCAAACTCAGTTGTGGCAAAAAAATTAGGCTTGAAGGCCCCAAAGATATCCCCAATATGTGAGGCGCGAGGTTTCACAAATTATCCAAATGGCCATAGTTTTGGTGATCAATTTCTTCGTCTATGGGGTCATAATTTCTTACTTGGAAGGGCTCCTATTAATGACAAGCTAGTTTTCTGGTTTGTGGATCACAAGTTCAATCAAAGAGGTGATTTTTATGAAGTTTCCAAAACCTTACGTTGATCATTTACTTAGCTTCATACGAAATCATAGAATCTCTAGAATTTTGAAAGAGAAAACAGAGCTACAAGAAGTTTCCTGCGTGAGGACTTTTAACAATCATGCATGAACAACTTCATAATTTTAAAATACAATGGCACCATTAGCTTAAACATTCTGTTTTTTCTAGATTTATGAACAATAGCCATATGCTGCATTGCCTGAAAGACTCAATAACGATTTGTAGTATTGTTTCTATGCTATAAACTAAACCATACAGTACCTTACCAGTGTCTAAATCAAGTACACATTGCAGATATAGAAGCAAGGGAAGATCCCAAATTAATCAGAGATTTAACCTCACAACGACTTGAAGGTTCCCCTGAAGAGGTGATCGACATGATTAAAAACTGCGAAATTAACTCATTAACACTCACACGAATCAGATACCGAGCACCATGGCACATTCTATTTGGTAAAATGCAGAAAGGAACAACCACCCTTGCAGGAGATTCATTTCACGTCATGGACCCTTCCATTGGCCAAGGAGGTTCTGCAGCCATAGAAGATGCCGTGGTGCTTGCCAGATGCTTGGCAGGAGAGCTTCAGCATCATCAAGTTGCCGACAGTGGCGAACTGAAGAAGAGAGCTGAAGCTGCCATTGCCAAATATGTTAGGGAGAGAATGCTGAGGATAATGAGCTTGTCAACACGAGCATTTCTTATTGGTTCTATGTCTGCAACCTCTTCCTGGATTAAAAGGGTGATTTTTTGTGTTCTGTTAGTTTTGCTCTCTGGTAATAACTCACTTAGCCATGCCCAGTTTGATTGTGGTCATCTCTGAGCTTTTGTGGAAGTAATTGATTTCTGACTGAACATGGAAGCAGTTCTCTCAGGATGTTCAGAATGTGTTGTGCAGATAACTGTTACAATATTTGGTTGCTATCATGTGAAGCGTAAGGTAGTATTTTGAAATATCTGGATTTACACTGAGAGCAATTTTAATGAACTTCAATCAGATTGATGTTTAAGGATTGACTCAAATTATATTAATTCACATATAATTTCTCTCGAATCTCATGGAACTGTGCTAAAGAATGTCTCACATATGATAACATGATCTCATAACTATGGATAACCCTGCTTAGGATTCATCAGATTGTGGTTGAAAGGTGCCCAACCCAAATTAAGGTCTCTTAATTACAGTCCTAACTATGCTTCTAATTATAAGGCGAGCTTTTTTTTTTTAAAGGCAAGCTTCATTGCATTCACATTCAAGTTAATTTAGGCTCGTTTGTGACGACTTTCGTACTATTTCTTAAAGAAGTTTTTTAGTATCAAATTTTAAATTTTTATATTAAAAAGTGCTTTAAGAAGCAATAAGAAAGTCATCCCAAACAAAGTCTTAATCATTCAATCTGGATAGTAGATTTGGTTGTCCAATCAGCCTGCCAATCCATCCAGGTAATTTAAATGATTGAATTTCAAAGTTCAATATTTCAGGCCACATTTTTTAAGAAATGATTGAACATGTTTTGAATCAACCTAGAACCTTAAGAGTAAATGCCCTAAATCCCTAATATCCTATTACTTAAACCACTCCTTGTAAAGATCAATTAATGGAGGAATTCCTCTTACATTGTAGTGTCGATCTCAAAAGCTCATAAAATTTGTGAGATAACTAATCTTACCAATAAAAGGATTATATAAAGACCAAACAACATAGTTTAACTAGATTGAATCAATTCCTTCTTACTTGGGCTAGGGCATGCATGCTTAGCAGGAGAATGAGTTAATGATGGAATGCATGTCATTGAGGCCTTGAAACAAGACACCCATTAGGTGTGACCAATGATAACAAACATTTTGTTGACATAAGTTATTGCATGTGGCTTACTAGCAACTAATGAAGTTAAAGGGCATCCACCATTTCATTTTTTTCGTGAGGTTATGAACTAGTGTTGGCCCACAATTTACATATCTTTCAACCATCAAATGACAATGTAATCATCCAGTCACCCTCTTCATTTAAAGTAGAGGTGGTTTGGTGCCCTCCACTTCTATGATAAAATCCTAGACCAATCAACATATTATTTTGGTTCAAATCAACACTAAGTGGCTAGTTTTAATGAGGGTTGATATAATACCTTTTATAAAAACATGAATTTTGATGATGATGTTGTCTATATCTTATCATACACCTTCACAATCTAAAAGAATTTTAGCTTATGCCTATATATGCCTTATTTGAAATCATAAATAGGGGTTAGGGAAAATTTTAATACGATAAGCTTATTTTGTAAATTGAACAAACTTTCTGAAAAGTTATAACTTAGTCATTGGGATAAAGTCGCTCCAATTATAGCATGAGAGGTTGAAACTCTCTATAAATGGCACAATGGAGGGGGGTTTGCTAACTTGCCTACTCATAGACTTTTACCTTTGCTCAATACCGCTTCATGTGGGTTCTAAGATTAGCATACTTAATATTCCAAATTAATAAGTAGATTCACATTGAGGGATACAAGCTTAGTGTTTGCTAAGCTAAATGATACTCACAAGAGAGTACAATTGAGCAAGTAATAAAGTGATGAGTAAATATATCATCTAATGAGGGTTATAATCCCCATATACTAATATTGGATCAATTCTAACTTTATTAAGCAGGTCAAAATATGGTAGGTTTTGTGCATAGAAACGAACTATGATAAGCACAAGAATTTTCTAACTATGAAAACGCACGCGCATGCACACACACATACACACAAAGGTTTGAATGCAATAGGGTTGTTTAGTGGTTAGATTTCACTCTGATATTTACAATTGGATCACTATAGAAAAATCATCTATTATTGACAGCATTTTCCATCGGAAATTTATCATTTTTCGACTAATTGTGAATTTATCGGCGAAAAGTTTTCACTGGTAAAACCCGCCTAGGAAAAAATTTTACAGCGGCCTTTTCCAGCGAAAAATATTTCTGGTGGCTAACGATGGTATTAGGCCACCGAAAAATTTAAAAAAGCCGACCGCTGCCCTCCCCCTAGCTGCCTGTGTGCTGCCTAATGGCCTTCCCACACAGCCTGAGCGCTATCCTGCCCGGTTGCCTTCCCGCACTGATCAAGACTGCCCTGCATAGCTGCCTATGAAATGCCTACTATGGGATTCAAACTCCTCCCATCTGAAAATTCAAAGACAACCGTTTTTTGCTGAGATGGAAAATGTGTTAAAAAAGTTACTCTTTTATATTTAAACTATAATTATATGAAATTTAAAATAAAAAATAATTAAACTAAAATATTAAATAAATAATAAGTTATTAAATTAATACTTAATTAAAATAAAGTTTTAGACTATAAAAATAAGTAAATTTAATAATCAAGTTTAAAATGAGAATTAAAATATATAATTTATTTTAAATGATTAATAATTAAAAAAGAATTAAAATAAATTATTAAAATTAAAAATTATTAAAAGCCGCCGAAAAGGCCATTTAATCATATTCCGTCGAAAAACCGTTGGAAATTTATCTACCAAAACTCTGCCGAAAAATTCCACCACTAATGAATGATTTTCTTCTAGTGGATTAATTCTAAATCAAATCAATCAAAATTAAAAGGCTTTTCCTAATCAGATTCGAAGTGTACCCTAACATTTTCTTGAACATCTATGACTGGTTAATCATCAATTCAATCTACCATCACCCTCGAAGAAGCTTCAATATTAATAAATCTCATTAATGAAAAACAATGGATCTAAAAGACTACATATTTCAATGCAACTATCTCAGTCCAATTATTGATTGGCAGTTCAATTAAGATGAATATGTTATTTATCTCTAAATTTCAAAATAGCCTCCAAAACTTGTAATTGATGGCTAGTTAATCCCAAGTATTTTAAGTACATATTAACACTATATGACTATTGGCCCAAAATCAAAGGCGGGGCTGTTGGAAGGTTTAAAACTTGCAAATTTTTGATTTCAAA